CGTAAGCCTTGTAAAGGTCTTTGAAGACAAACAACTAAAGCTCTTTCCTTTTGTTTTGCCTAGTATGTGATAAACGCATGAAATAAAGCTGGCTATGACCTGAGTTATTAACTCTAAAAGGGGAATTTATTTTCCCCCCTAACCAGTTAAATTAAAGGCCGAGTTCCTGTACTCCTTACTCAGGCCTATCCATGGGAGATTTACTTGAGTAAAGGCTTCAGGTTTGGTCCCAGTCACAACCAGTAATACTGAAAACTCTCTAGTTCGGTTTAAAGTCTGTTCCTGCAGTGACACATACTGGAGGTTTATTTCGCTGCCCTTGAATAATTTCTAAATGTTCCTAATGTCCTTCCATTTTTCCTTGGTGTGGAAGTTGTGGATTGTGGGGCCCCGTAAATCCCATCCGCTCACCCCACCCCACTCAGGTGAAAATGGAAACAAGATCTAGAAATCTGTTTTGCAACATCAGAGACAAAGCACTAACCTAAATGACAGGAGGAGAGGGAGTCCTGTTCTTAACAGTGAACAGTGTAACAGTCAAATCTACTGCATCAATCACTGGGATTCAGTGCATTAGTTATGGGACAATAGCTAATAAAGATCCCATCAATAGGCAAATTTATCACACTTTTTTCTTGATAAGAGGAGGGTACGGGATGTAACTACCTTTTTAAAATCAGCGCAGTGTGATTTACAATGACATTCTTTCCCAACATTAAAGGGTTGAGCCCCCATAAATCTTTGTCCTTACCCTTTTTTAAAAGCCTGCATCCTCACTACAAAGTGGGCGAGCTCAAGCCTTAGTCAACACAGTGCTTGGGCTCTAACTCACGTCCCCAACCAGGTCAGGTAGCCGAGGCTTAAAGCGCCTCCAAACCCGGGTCAGAGGTTTTTGTGCATGGGTCACAGGCTAAAACCCGGCTAAGAGCCCAGGTTAACTGCAGTGTAGACATGCCCTAAGCAAGCTGTCTTGTAAGTGAATAACAAGTCAGTCTAAGATAGTGACCATCTGAGGTTTGTTGTTACATACATTTGAGACCCAAAATCTTGAAGAAAAGCATTCAGCAAACATCACTGACGGACGAGAAGGACTATAACCTTACCGAATCTCTATCCTCCATTACACGCTGGGGTCTCGCAGGAGTGGCAGGGCTTGTACCTTTCATCCTCTTGTATTGCGTGAACAAAATATTCATGGTCGCAAGAAGGACCTCAGATAAATTGTGTCTGATCTATGCAAAGAAAAAAAAAACACAAGGGAATGAAGAGCAGGTCAACCCGGAGTCATTACTGTTAGTAGAAGAGGTCAGAAAGCGGAGCGCTATCTGTTGTTTATACAGGAGGATGTGTTGAGAAATGCCACCTCACAATTAACTTGATTTGAAGATGACTGGGTCATAATGAAGAGAGGATTGTGACTTCAGAGAATATGGACTCTGAAGAAATAAAATATGCTGATTTATGGCAAATATCCAAAGAAATGAAACCGGAGGGAAGAAAAAAGTTGATGACCTCAGCAGAACTGCTTCTAAACAGGACAGATTTCCAAGTTTTCCATGAAGACACCACAGATTTGATTTACAAATCTAGGACATGAAGAGTGAAACTGAAATCAGTACCTTTTTCATTCTTAGTACTGTATGATTCACTGCTCCAAACAGAGTCAAGAGATGACAGCAATGCTGTCATGTCAGCATGGGCACAGTCCCTCAGCATTAGGCTGTTATTCAGTCAGTCAGTCTCCTACTCCTGTATTCATTTCCAAGCTGACAACATCAAGCAAGACATCTTCTTAAAATGTTGGTGTGAGATCAGCTGAACTAGACTTAAAAGGCCAACAAAGGCAACCACTATTCATAGACTATCAGGGTTTGAAGGGACCGTGGGAGGTCATCTAGTCCAATCCCCTGCTCAAAGCAGGATGAATCCCCAGACAGATTTTTACCCCAGATCCCTAAATGGCCCCCTCAAGGATTGAACTCACAACCCTGGGTTTAGCAGGCCAATGCTCAACCACTGAGCTATCCATTCCCCGAAGTATTAGAAACTGGGTATTACACGGAAGAGATTGCTTTCAAATGGTTCCAGACACTCTTCTCTTTTAAATACTGATCTAACCCTTCGGTCAAAAGGCTGTGGTTCTTCATTAGTAACGGGTAGGCAGGGAGGATGCTTTACGGATAGGCCATGCACATGCTATGGAATGTTAGAAAATTCCCACTGCTGCTACCATCAATTATGCTGTAGCAGTAAGGGTTTTTTTTTTTCTAAAATTCCGTAGTGTTAGCTATGGGCATGGTGGTCATCTGGATACTAATTTTTGTGCTAAGATGATAGAAAGCACAGTAAAGGTTGCTCAAGACGCTTCATCCTACCACTAACCATCATGATAGGGGGAAAAAAAAATGGTAGGAAAATCCTTCTTTTACCACCTCAGCTAGTACTTTGAAGGTGGATGAATTTACAAGCAAAGAGTCAAGACCCACAATGTTAAACTCTTCGGTTGTATTTGCACCTGTTAGAATCTAAGGCAGTTTGACTACAGGGAAGTGACTTTAGGGCAACATCTAGCATATGTATGAGTCAGGACGGAATCAATAAATTCTAAGGCTTGAAGGGAAATGTCATTCATTCATTCACAAGCCTTTCATCTACAAGTTCACTTAGCAGCAAAAAAACGATTATGCTATTAAAAATCCTCTTTAATATATTTTAAGATTACATCTAACATTTGATATAAGGTTCAAAAGTAAGTGCTAGGGAGGCTTTGCCCCTGGCATGTCAATTTCAATGGACAATTTCCCAGGGTAATTGCTGCAGCCTGCAAACTAGTTATAATTTCCTTTAGTTTGGAAGGAAAGAAACCCACGTTCCCTCACATGCTGAGTGGCTGCTGAAAGCATCGAGGGCCCAATTCAATACAAACGTTGAAACTTTTCAAATACATTTTCTGAACTCGGTGTTAGAACTCACAAAACATGGTGTGGAAGATTCCAGACAGATCCTGTTCTACAAAATGGATACCAAGTTCTGAGCTTTCTAGTGCCTGATCCTAATGCTGCACGGAGGAGCCCTAGTGGTGTAATGGAAAACATCGCGCTCAAAGACTAGAAAATAGAATTAAGCTGGACCTGATCAATAATATTTCCAATTACAAACTATAAAACGGCAAAACTACAGGGCTCTACCACTTCTCTGGCAAGACAGAAATAGCAAAAGGTTGAAGGCATACGGTGTTGCTTACTTCATCGCTGAAATTTCTGAAGGCAGCCACCCTCTCTTCCACACAGTCTTGGCTCAGGGGCACAAGCTTTAGATGTTCAATAATCTACAAAAAGGAGGAGAGCAGGAATAAGAGTAAGCTAAGTAACAGGTTTGTAATTTTGAAATGTTTGCAAAGAACTCGATTAAGTAACTGAATTGTACCCGATTACTCTATTAGACAGCATTTTACCGCTTACCCATTCATTGATGTAGCATGAACATTTTGTTCCGGGGCTACAAACTGTCTCCAGAAAAAAATCTTCCTGATGATCAGATTACAGGAAAGAAATACACTTTTTAAATTCCTGTATCATCACTGCACCTTTTAACTCATTCAATGTAAGATCCCATGACACTTTTGTATTGTTTTAAGTGGTGTTACATGAAATGCTTTGGGTTTACAAGGGCATCAGTAAGTCTGTGCTTCAAATGGAACTTACATCAAAGGCCCTGTCAATGTGACCGGCATGATATTCATCAAAAAATGTGATCAAGTCTAACAGAAGGTAGAATGTGGAGTCAATGGATTTCTTTGTACTTATCCCTTGAGCTTTATACCTGGGGGGAAAAAAAAAAAGTGTTTACAATTGTACTGTGCAAAACGGCATCCACTTATAGACATGAGTCCCTAACTTGCAATTCCTTGGAAGTTCAGGCTTGAAGCAAAAAGACAACAGCATCTACCAACAAAAAGACAGCTTTCATTTCTCTTAACCAGAACAGAGTTTCTGGCGGCTTTCTCTTTGGCTCACTTTAATTATTTCTCACTCCAAATTCTTACTCACAAATAAAATGTGTATTTACATCTACATTGCTAATGTTTCCATATGCAAGTGACAGCTGGCCATGGAAACTGGAATCCTATTTATCTGAAGGGCAGGTGTTGTATAAGCATCTTTAAAATACTGTTTATACAGCATAGTTACCTGTGAAACTTGCTGCCTTGGGATATTCAGGCAAATACCTTAGTAAGACTTTAAAAAGGGCTAGATACTTACGAATATTATTTCTAGCTATACTACCTAGAACAGAAATACAAAGGCTACCAATCCTCATCCTTTACATTCTGAACAGATTGCCAACAGGGTCTGGCTCTCTTCCCCACTCCAGTAGTTCAGTGCAGTCGGTCAAGTGCATTATATAGACTTTGAATCGTCCATCCTCTGATGCATCTTGCATTAGCCATTCTTTGGGACAGAATACCAAACTAGATGGACATTTGGTCTATTCTGTATATGGCATGTCCTCTGTTCCCGTGAAATGATGCAAGAACGTGATCACTGGCCCAAGTGCTGCTTGTGTCACTAAAACATTGTCCACAATACATAAGCTGAAGAAAAGCCCTATACAATAATTAAATGGGAAACAGAAACCCATGGCCTAGTCAACTGTCCTGAACATTAGGAAGCACAAGGTGGGGAGAAAAAGCAGAAGTGGCTGATCTAGCCAATGATGGTGTGGCTATAAAGCAGTACTATAGAAAAAGTCATGTTTAAAAATCTCCCTCAGACACTGAAACTGGCTATTAAAGTGATACTGTAGACTGTTAGATCATAAATTCTAACCATAGGCTTCATTTTCCTTGACAGCTGCTGAGTGATATATCATATTAAGTCAATACAGTTCTAATTTTCACTCTTGTTTTAACCCTCACTCTCAGGAGATAGGATAGATTGAAATAGTGACCTGAAAATGTCACTTTTCAGTAAAGAAAGTCAAAGGTATCAGGCTAAAACGCAACACATCATTTATATGTTTTCTCATTTTAAAAGACAGAAATGCTTGGAAATTTGCTTAGTTTATTTTATTTATTTTTTGCACATCAGAAGGTACTATGGTAAGAATTAAGAAGTTTTCTAAAAGTACCAGGATTTTCCTTTATTGAAACACAGGAATTCCAATACTTCATCAGAAGCATGACGTATAATATCCTGTTTCTGACAACAGCCCCTATCAGATGTTTCAAAGGAAGATGTAAAAATGGGACTATTTTGCAACAACATGCCCATGAGAGCAGTTTACTCCGAACTCCAGAAAGTTGGTGGCGCATGAAGGCTGAAGTCCCTTATAAATGTTTATCCCAATTAGTGTATTGTAACAGCAAATGACAATCTTACTGTTCATATAAACATCTTTCTTTTCGGATTCCTATAATGCTCTTTATCTCAATAACATCTTGTGGCAGCAAGCCCCACTGGTTCACTTCATCTTCTGTAATACGTTCTTATCCGTTTTGAGTTTAAATCTGTTGCCTTTTTAGTCCAAATGCTATTTTATGAAAACAGCAATGAAACAAACCTGGTTCTTGGAAAACAAAGTTTTCAGGATGCTAACCTCCAACACTTCCCCCTGGTCTCCAATTCTCTCAGAACAGCCTCAGTCATTAAAGCTTATTCTTAATTCAACTTTAAGTTAGTGGGTTGCACTACCGCTAACAAACAATCACTACTAACTAATTTGCCTAGGGAAATTTCATTAAAAATTCTCTTTCTAAAATGTACAACTAATTATATTTATTGCTGTCTAGATTATATCTCTCTCCCCACCACCCTCCTTCGTTTCCAGTAATATTGCAGGTCTCCTTTTCTGATTTGACCAAGGGTAATAGATCTTGCTTCTGTCAAATTCATCTGACCAGGAACACGAGATTACATTTTCTATGTGTGTAATATACAGTAATTAAAAGCAGGGCAGGGCAAGTTCTGCCCCTTCTCCGTTGAAAACATCAATAAGGACACTGCGCAAGCCAGCATGACAAGGTCAAGAAAACCCTCAGTGTACTGACTGTCAGAGGTGTAGGAACCTGAACTGGAATGGTCAGGTACACTCTAGTCACTTCACAGTCTCAGAGATCCAACTTCCAGTCTTACCTCTCTGCAATGGAATGTGCCATATTCTTCAGCCTCTCTTTGTTAGACTGGGGGGTGCTGATCTGTGGAACCACGGGACTGAGTAATTTATTCATCAGTTCTAATACCTTATCTGGATTCTGTTGAATAATAAAAATACATGAAAGAAAAAGCAATGTTACAGAGCCTGGCTATTGCACCTGATCCTGGGGGTGCTGAGTGTCTCCCCATTGAGAGCAGAGATAGGTAATAATTGAGTGCCCAGTTAGCTAGCCATCTGTTAGATCAGAAAATTGAAAAATCACATGGCATTCCATTCCCTATTAAACAGCTGGCTACCACACCATTCTCTTTGACTTCGGATACATTTCAATAGCAAAATCAGTGTACCTACAGCAATAAAGGCCCTATTGTTTTAGCCTTGTTTCCAAATGCTATTTCAATTAAATATGAAGAACTGGGTAAATTGCTTTGTTGGCCAGAACAATCTTACTCTTGGAAACAATTATGTGAAATGTGGATTGTATATCGATCAGGAACTTAGACTGCTTAACGACCATATAGCTAAATCCCAGTATGGGTTGGATGTTAAGATCCAAGTCCTCTTTGCTTTACTCATGAGTCACCTCAGTAAAGCCAATGGAACAGCTATAGAATGAGATGAGCAAGATTTGGGCTTAATATTGTCAAGACAGTTCACGTTCTGAGATTAAAATAACCTTCCAATCAACGTTGATGTATTTTAAAATAAGATGAAATAGGTAGGGTATGGATGGCAGCTATGAGAACACATTTACCTTTGCAAGGTCGTAAAGTTTTGCAGCTTCTTCAAATAATCCTTTATTTTCTGACGCTGAAGCAACTTTGTTAATAATAGGTTTTGTGTCACTAGTAAACTTGTCTATCACTCCTGGCTGATGAGACAAGACAAATGGGGAGAAAGAGGGGGGAAAGCATTTGAAATCAGACAGTATTTAAATTCCTGGAATATTCTGTCAAGGCAATGTCAGATTGTGGTTAGAATGGACTGCACAATTCCATGGAAACAAATAAGAAGGCCACATTAAAAATAGAAAGAGCTCTTGTAAGAGAAGAGTTCTCCAACTGGGGAGTGAGCACTGAGATATCAGCTGTTTCTAATTTATTCAAAATGACCCAGATATGAAGTGAATGAGTATATATAGTCCACATTAACAACGGGAAAAAAAAATTCACAGGCCATTTATGGGCGCAGCCTCTTGTTTATTATGTAAGCCTTCTTTAACCCAAAACCTAAATCCAATGCCAAAATCTTGGCTGTTGATTATAGAACAGATGAAATCCTGGCCTCACTGAAATCAGTTGAGAATTTTGCCATCGAATTCAAGAGAGCCAGAATTTCACCCTATGCCTTGTCTCTTTAGATATGTACTTTAACTATATCCTCTTCTCATTCTAGACCCCTTGTAATTTGCTTTCCTCCTTGCCAACCATCACCCCTTCACATTTACGCAGCTCACTGATCATTTTGCAAAATGACTTTGTGCTTGCAGCAATAGTCTGCATGCAACTACGGTATTAGATTAGCTGTGAAAAAAAATGCAGGAAAGCCAGAAATAGGCTCGAGAATAACTGGAAAATCATCTTGTGTGCACGCGCACACCCCCACCCATACCCAGAGAATGAGATACATATTGTATCGTATCTATACAAAACGCTATCAACTCACCTTCCTACTGCCATCATTCTCCAGCTTCCCCAGAATCATATCGAACTACAGGCACACACAAAAAAATAAGAAAGAAAGGAAATTAACTGCATACCTACTGCAACACACTTGGTAGTAGCCTGAAGTTTCAGTCCTGAGTATACCACAAACAGAGCACTCAGTGAAGCCAAGATTTTTATTTAAAATACATAAAAATGCAAACACCTCTGGTGCTGTATTAAACGAACACCAAACATATGGTCATACGGCCTTTCTGATATATGGATCTGTTCTCCATTGATGCACGCATTTAATGGGAGAGAAACAGACCATGAGAGAAAATAGCTGTCTCACGCCCATTTGGCGTAAGTAGTGCACAAGGCCTTGACTTGGCCTTCTATAAAGGGGTAAATTTCACTTTAAGTGAGGAATGGAGAAAACTGTTACCCAAACATACCTCTCTGCTCTCGATTACTAGCTCACTAACACAACGCAAGAACATGTTCTCTCCTTGGCTATCCTTCTCATTCCTGCAAAATACAAACAAAACAAAAGAAAAAAAAAATCTGTGTGTTTCATAGACCTTCTATGGTTATTACTGAAGTAATATAACTATGCTGCTGAATTTTAGATGCAGGGTCCTACCTGAGAAAGTAAAAATACTGCAGTGCTTCCCTTGGGTCCGTTGACTCAAATTTACGGGTGTAGAGCATCAAAAGGCGAACGAAATTAAGGCGTCTCATGCCGGGAGGGTCGCCGGCTTCATGACTTACTGGGATATTGGAAATAACATGGACCAAAACAAGATTTCTTAGCATCAGACATTTTGGCATCGTCATACATTAACCTAAAGATCAAAGCAGTGTTTCATCCAAGACATTCACTCACTTGCTAAATATCTAAACAGACCCCCACAGTTAACCCTTAGGGAATGCTGGCATGCTTCACTGTTGGTTCAAATAATGGTTTAGGATGGATATGTCCACCTGCAGTCTCTCCAGCGTTAAAGGCCAGGGCTTAATGGTAGCGGGAAGCATGCAGGACTTACACAGCTGTGCGCTCTGCCCAGAAGATTTCAGGAGCAGCTTTAACTCAAAGAGGACCAAAGCAATGTGAACAGCATGACAACGCAAGCGCTCCATCCGGAAGAGAAAAGCAATTGCAGCTTCAAACTGTGCTGTCAAGAACAATACTTGGAAGTAGAGAAGAGGCTGCTGATTCACTGCAAAATGTGATTCGCCTGAGGAAAGAAACATACCCGTGTGAGTGAAGAGGATTTTGCACCTGGGATCTGTGACAGTAGGTGCTTCCTGTCACGGTACATCACCATTGTTTACTCACTCCACGTGGAAATAAACACAAAAGACAAAACAGAATATTTAATCATACATCTCTGGCTTATCTGTAATTGCCCCATTGCACGTATATCATGAAAGGTTGCAGCAGAACGATGTGTTCAGCAGAAGGGAATGCAGTTACTCATCCTGAAAGGAGTCCCTCTTCTCCCTCCTGACAAAGATGCCTCGATGGGGACAGATTCTCCACTGTCCTGAACCTTGTGTCAACATTCACCCCTGTGCAAAGCAAGTGCAAACCACCACCAAATCAGAATTCTCCACCCACTCACAGCACTGGTAGTGGTTTACACTCTCTCTGCACTCCCTGTACAAGGGTGTAATGACACATGTGCAGGGCAGTGGAGAATCAAGCCCTATATTTTTTCAGCAGTCAGAACGACCAGATGAATTTTGAATACAGGCATCTGGGGGAGGAACTGGACACTCTCACCTCATCGCTCGCCCACTCCCAAAACCTTCCAAAGTGGAAATGGCCACGATTTATACAGCCAAGCTCCTGCCCTATTCACTAGTTTGAGGCTTCAGTGAGTAACTTGGTATGGTAACCTACAGGCAGTAACTCAGGGGTTCAAGTGTTCAGACAGATGTTGGAAAGAAAGACATTCCTGCGACCGAGAGAGACTCCATTTTCTTCCTTTGATTCCAGCAACTGGCAGCTCTACTAGAAGAGTTTAGCAGATCCAGGAAGAGAGAAAACGATCTGTAATTAGGAACGACACAACACAAGGGACTCCGGCTCTGGACAGCGTATGGGTGTTAATTACCTGGACTGTTGAAAAGGCATATGAACCATTCAGCAGTTCTTATGAAATCTGCTCTTCCTCTCAGGGAGTAGCTGTATCTGAGGGCTCTCAGAGACTCAGAAGTAAGCTGAAGTGTCTAACTGGATTTTAGAGTTTACATAAGAAGTAGAAAGTGCTTTAAGCAGAGGCTGAACCCCAGCAGAAGAGTCAGTCCCACAAAAGCTCCCTTACCATAGTCTTCAAGCAGTTGTTTCTGGAATTGCGATAACGTTAACCTGTCCTGAGGGGAGCTGGTACCATCATCATCAAAACACACCTGGTTCAGCTAAACACAAAAAAGGAGAAACAGGGACCTTTAAGTAACTTTCTCCTGCATGATGGAGGCAATTGAGAAGTGCTCTTCCGGGAGCTGACCAATGGTCAGAAACCTAAGTTAAATCAATTGCTATGGCATGAAGATATGAGAAAAAAGAATAGCAGAATTCCATCTCAACACACCTTAGGATATCTTCACAGTTGTGCATGCAATCAAATGAAATCCGTGGGGCACAAGCCACCGATAACCATGACAATCTTTTGCATTTACACGGCAAACTCGCTATTCTAATTCGTTGGCTTCCATATAGGAGGAGAAAATACCCAAATGATCAGTATTTACCCATATTCCCTCCGTGGAACCCTCAACACTGTAGAGAGATATTCACATTTTCTTCTTCTCTCAAGTCCCAGGCCAACATTTCAGCCAAGATCCATCCAGGAAGGATGAACTGTAAAGGACCTCTTTGCAACAAGTTATGCTCCTTAATCAGCTGAAGGGAATTGCTGTTGAGTGAGGAGAACCACTCTCTTCCCACAGAGGACAAGTAAGCTGCCTTCACACTAATGTCAGCTCTGGTGGCACAGGAAATGACAGACTGGAGTTGGGACAGGTTTCTGCCACCATTTTGCCACCATAACGGCCCTAAACCATGTCATTTTAATGCAGCAGAAAGACCTAAGATTGGAATGTACTGGGAGGTAGAATAACTCTGTGTAACAATGGAGGAAGAGCCACCCTTCCTCACCTTCCAACAGCTGTAAGTAAGTACATGGAGGTCAGATCCTCATCTAGTGAACCTCAGTGAAGATCGCTGAAGTCAATGGGCCAATGCTGATTTACACCAGCTGAGGATGTGGCCTATTGAATCCTAGTACTGAAATCACACTTACCTTTAGCCAAAGATAATCTTCTGTTTTGTCAGCAACTTCACTCTGGTTATCAGCAATGTCACACCGGCCTATGATACAATAAACAGCTCTTTTGTACGGGTCTGTATTGTTCCTCAGAGCTCGTCGGTAATGGAGGCGAAGCTTGTTTTCAGTGGTAGGAGACAATCTAAAATATAAAATAAAAGAAGCCGATTATACAAGAAGCCTCAGAACACCTACAAATTCCAACCTTTTCCCTGTTAGAACGCTTTGAAACAGATAAACACATGCAGGGTACAGGTTCACAGGGACGAGTGAAATGCATGTAAATGTCTGATTGGGAAACACACATTGCAAGGCAATCCTTGCACTTACCACTTATGATTGCAAATAGATAGATAGATAGATAGATAGATAGATAGATAAGCATTAGAGCTGCAGATTCGTCATGGTGAAAAATCATGGAGTGGTCAGGGTAACTTTAGTAAAAGTCACGGGTTTAGTGACTGCTCTGTGAGTTTTGATAAAAAATGCCCTGACAAACGAAATTCAACTATACCTCTTCAAAATCCTAGCACTTCAGTATTGCCCTCCTCCACCATGGCCACTGCCGCCTCCTCGCCACGCCGAGGGGACACTGACCACCCGCAGCAGCACCCTCCACCTTGACTCTGAAGCCCTAATCCTGGCCTGGTAAGGGCCCAAGGAGGGGAGGGAGGGCACTGGAGAGTTAGCCCTCCCTCGCAGTCACCTTGAGCTGTGCCTGGCTTCCCATTCCGGGTGTTGTGACCTGGCGCACAAGGATACAACGCTGCTCAGGTTTGCCCCAGCCACCCTTCCATCATGATGGAGGGGCGGCCAGGCCAAATTTGAGGGAGTGCGCCAGGCCGCAGTGCCACTCACTCAGATTTAGCCCAGGCGCCTTCCACCTCTCCCAGCAGTTGTGACAGAGGGGTGGGCTGGGCCAAACCTGAGCGGCACTGTGACCCCATACACCAGCTTGCAACATTCAGAGTGGGGAGGTAGGCCCAACGGGACACAGGAGCCGACTCTGTGGTGTGAGTGCGGGGTGAGCTCCATCTTCGACACCCCTCCACACAGGGCCAGTGGGACGACTCACACAGAGTATTCCCATGCAGAAGTTATGGTCAAACAGAGACGTCACAGTATCTGTGACTTTTTTCACCACCATGGCAAACCTGAAGCCCTAGTAATGCTAATGTCATTTGCATAACATGTAAAAAGCACTTTTCTCCCCCTCAAATTAGCTAACACACACACACACACACACACACTATATATATATATATATAT